ACCCTGTTTGCTTCTGTTTCCTCATCTGTAAAATGAAGATGTTGGACTAGATCAAGGGTGGGGAACTCCAAACTTTGTGGCACAAATCCCCTTGTAAGTTTAGATTTAGTCAAAGGGCAGCACTTGAGGACCTAGAGGGCCACATGTGACCTCGAGGCCATAAGTTCCCCACCCTTGACCTAGATGATCTCCACTATCCCTTCCAACTCCAAATCTAAGATCTCTCCTTTCTACCCCCATGGCCTAATCACCAACTACCTCACCGTCTACCCTGGAATTCATGCCCTGGAGGATCATCTACCCTAGGGCCCCACTCTTATGCCTGATGATCTTCTTTCCCAGAGCACTATTTCTGGACAGCTCTAGCTATGTTTTATTAACTCCATCCCTTCTGGCCACCTTTACCAGTCTCCTCAGCAGCCACCTTACCCCCCCACCCCCCTCCATGCCTCATCAAGTTATGGGACCACAAACCGCGATCAGATGAACTCTGTCGTGGTTCTCTCCTGTTTCCTGGATAGGGACAACAAAATATGTCACTAGGTGTCCACCATTTGTTGACAAACTCCACTGTAATTACCTAGATGGGAATCTGGGCAATGAACACAAGGTCTGTACGCGAGATGGACTTGAATGTCTCTATTGGTCCTTCCATTCTAAGGCAGCTAGATGGCGCAGTGGGTAGTGCATGGACCTGGGGTCAGGAAGACCTAAGTTCAAGTCCATCCTCAGATATTTGCTAGCTGTGTGACCCTGGGCAAGTCATTTAACCTTTGTGTGCCTCAGTTTCCTCAACTATGAAATGGGGATAATGATAGCATATATCTTCCAGGGTTATTGTGAGAATTAGGTGAAATATGTAAAGTGCTTATTTAGAACAGTGACTGGCACATAGTAGGTACTTAATAAATAATTAGAACGTTAGCGAAGTTGTCCAGTGGATGAAATGTTTAGTTGGGTATTAGGAGACTTATTAGCTGTATTGTAACTGGCAGAAAAGTGATAATGTTTAGAGTCCTAGACCTGGAATTAGGAAGACGTTAGCATCAAATTCTGCTTTGGATACTTTTCAGACATGCAATCTTAGAAAAGTCACTTCCTTCCTCTGGTCTTCCATTCCTTGTCTATGAAATGAGGGGGCTGACATCAATGAATTTGATAGGGTCTCTTCCAATTCTAAATCGACAATTCTTTCACTCTATAAGGCACTTAAACTCTGATAGCCACAGTTTTCTAATCTGTAAAATGGGGGTAATAATCCTTGTACTATGTACTTAAAATCTGCAAGCCTTAAATGAAATGTTCTCGTGGAGGTCATGGTCCTTGGAATTATTGTCATTTAGTTAAATTTGTCAGATATACCAGAGCACCTTACTGTTTCCTAATGAATTTAAAGATATATTTCCCCCAAGTTTTCTCTTGCTTTCTTCACTTTGTTCAGTCTTACCGGGCTCTTCCTCTACATGTTCCACCAGTAAAATCTGTGAAATAATGTCAGAGCATCACCACAGCAACCTCAGAATAAGGACCTGGCAACTGAGATTGCCAGTCTAGACAGCCCAGATTTGTCCTAGGATCTATAAAGTCCAGCAACTGGATCCCATGTTCAGCTGACCTCCAATTGTCGTGCTCTTCTTGTGCTGAATTCTTTTGTTCCCAGTCTACTCATTCATTTAATTGTTGTCCTTATTAGAGACCATTTGCTCTTTTAAATAGTGTTTGTTGAGCTTGGCAAATGTCTGCCAGTTCTCAGGGCTTGGCTGGCTCCCGGCATTCAGCCACAGCATCTCTCCTCAGGGGAACTGGTTCTGCAGTGGGCAGCAGCAACATCAGAAGCTAGGATAAAGTGGCAGGCACAAGATGGCAGCATCGGTCCTTGTAAGAAAGATAATACAAACCCTTTTCTTGGGAGATGCCTGCAGGAAAGCCAGATGTTTGAAATTTGGCTAAGCAGGACACAACTGCCCAGGCAAGGTGAGATTTCCCATTGGAAAGTTAATCACTTTGGCAATTCAACAGCATTCAGATCTTTTCAAATAAATGTAGAAATGAAATTTCTCTGTAGCGTAAAGGACTCTGGACTGGGAGTCAGGAAAGCTGGGTACTCACTCCAGAGAGCTGGAAGGGATCTCCCAGGCCATGTAGTCCTCTCTCCCACTTTACAGATGAGGAAACTGAGGCCCAGAAACTTGTGAGCAGAGGTCTAGAGCAGTAAGGGACCTCAGGCCATCTTGTCCAACTGCTTTATTGTACAAATGAGGAAACTAAGGTTCAAAGATATGAAGCGACTGATGCGCTCAGTATCACAAACTGGCAAGTACCAAAGTCATGTCCTCTTAATATAAGTCTAGGGCTCTATCTACTACGTCACATAGCCATAGGTGGAGAGCCACCTTCTTTTTGAAGATAATAACAACACCTTTTGACAGCAATTTAAGGTTTACAAAGTGCTATCATCACAGCAACCTTGCAAGAAAAGAGTAATATTTGTGTTTGTGTATGGGGTGTGTGTGAGTGTGTGTATGTGTGTGTGTATGGTGTGTGTGTATGGTGTGTGTGTATGGTATGTGTGCGTGAGTGTGTGTGAGTGTGTATGTGTGTGTGTATGGTGTGTGTGTGTATGTGTATGTGTATGGTGTGTGTGCATGTGTGCGTGTGTGTATGTGTGTGTGAGTGTGTGTGTGAGTGTGTGAGTGTGTGTCTGTGAGTGTGTGTATGTGTGTGTGTATGGTATGTGTGTGTGTTTGTGTGTGTGTGTGTGCGTGCATGGTGTGTGTGTGTATGTGTGTGTATGGCATGTGTGTGTGTGTGTGTAGGTATGTGTATGTGTGTGTGTGTGAGTGTGTGTGTGTGTATGGTGTGTGTGTATGTGTGCGTGTGTGTATGGTATGTGTGTGTGTGTGTGTGTGTGTGTGTGTGTGTGAGTGTGTGAGTGTGTGTCTGTGAGTGTGTGTATGTGTGTGTGTATGGTATGTGTGTGTGTTTGTGTGTGTGTGTGTGCGTGCATGGTGTGTGTGTGTATGTGTGTGTATGGCATGTGTGTGTGTGTGTGTAGGTATGTGTATGTGTGTGTGTGTGAGTGTGTGTGTGTGTATGGTGTGTGTGTATGTGTGCGTGTGTGTATGGTATGTGTGTGTGTGTGTGTGTGTGTGTGTGTGTGTGTGCGCGCACATCTCTAGTGCTTCGTCCAGCGCCTGGTAAGGCAATGAGCAATTAATAAATGCTTGTGGACTGACTCTCGTCATTTTATACATGAACCCAGAGGAAGGAAATCGCTTGGATGAGAAGCTAGACCTCTAACTTCCGTCTCCCTACTCTTTCTATTAAGCAACCTATGTCTTGTCTTTATTTTCCTTCTGTTTTCTCTTATGGTTATTATTAGATTCATTTCCAAAGGCATGCACGGCTTGTGGGTATTAGAACTATCCATTAATCAGATGGGACTGGACTGAGAGTCAGAAAGACCAGCCTTCCAATCCTGCCATAAACATTTATTAGCTGTGACATCCTGAACAAATCGCCTAACCTCTCTGTACCTCAGTTTCCTCATCTGCAAAATGAGGAGCTTGGATTCTGAGGTCCTTTCTAGCTTTAGATTTGTACTAGTATGAATTAAGAAAGATTTATTAAGCTTTATTTGTTGTGCCAGGCACTTTGCTAGGCACAGGGGATGCAAGCATAAATGAACGAGTCCCTTCTAGTTGACATTCTAGAGGTTGACAAGCTGAACGCGTGTAAGCATGCTGGTTGGTTGTGTCTGAGTCTTTGTGACCCATCTGGGGTATTCTCGTCAGAGATACTGGAGTGGTTTACCATTTCCTTCTCCAGCTCATTTCACAGATGAGGAAACTGAGGCAAACAGGATGAAGTGACTTGCCCAGGGTCACACAGCTAATGTCTGACATGTATCTATCCCTTTATACACACATGCATATATTACTACATGCATGAACATGTTATATATGTATGTATGTACACATACGCACATATGCACACATATACACAACTATGTATGTATATACATACAAATATACACACAAATTCATATATAAACACATAACTATGCAACTATATAAAATAGACAAATATATGTACATGTATGTATATGTGTAACATGTATATACATATACACACGTATACATATGCACACATGAGTATGTATGTATGTACAAATGCATACAAATATACACACATAAATTCATACAGAAACACATAAATATATGCAACTATATAAAATAGACAAATATATACATATATGGATATGTATAATATGTATATACATATATACATACATAAATACCTATATACATACATACACACATATGCACACATATACACAGGAGTATGTATGTATACGTAAATACATACAAATATACACATATAAATGCATACACAAATAAATGTAAATATATGCAACTATATAAAAATTGACAAATATATGTACATATATGTATATGTGTAATATGTATATACATGTATACACATACATAAATACCTGTATACATGCATACACATACATGTGATGAACAGTATTGCGAGATAAATAGAGAGCTAGTCTTGGACCTGAGAAGGCCTGATTCTAGGCTTGCCACTGACCCACACCGTCCTAGCGATGTGAGTTACATCACTTCATCTCTTAGCGTCCCAGGCAAGTCTCCAAGACTATAATTTACAGAGAATAAGTGAACATGCTTTGGTAGGTGGTTTCCTCAGGCAACAGGCATTTATTAAACACTTACTATGTGCCTGGCACTGTGCCAAGTGTCTGAGATACAGAGGAAGGCAAAAACACATTCTCTGTCCTCTGTACCCCTTTTAAGGAAGGAAAACAACACACAGGTAGCTCTCTCTGCACATACAAGATCTAGACAGAAATCCCACTAGGGAGTTCCTCATGCTAGTGAAATCATAGCTTAAGGCCCTGTCCATATTGGATGATCTCATTGGGCAAACAGGCAGTCTCTGCTAGGTAGTAATGGATACTTTCTTCAATTTTCCAGGGGGAAAGGCCACATGGTCAAGTACAATCATCACTGGAAACTCTCCCTCAGGATGCAGCGACTGGGGACTTTTCTGGGCCTGCTTTGTGGAGGTGATCTTCCATTGCTGTTTGACACATCTCTGGTAATGTTTCCTCCTTTGGAGCATTAGAAACATTTCCTCCAATGGAAAGTATGGTGGACTAGGGGTCAGAGGCCCTGGATTCAAATCCTAACTACAGTTTACCAAGTGACCTGGGGACATTTTCAGTTTCCTCATTTGAAAAATAAAAGAGGTTAATAGATATCAGGGTTCTTAATCTGAGAATCACAGACCCCTAAAAGGTCTATGGACAGATTCCTAAGGGCCCGTGAATTAGGAAATTTTATTATTTTGATATGATTGGTTTCCTTTGTAATTCTAAGTATTTATTTTACATATTTAAAAATGCATTTTAATGTACATATTTTACCCGTTCTGAGAAGTTCATAGGCTTCCCAGCACTTTCCCATTAGGGTGTGACTTCCTCAAGGGCAGGTCCTGACTTTTGCAGTCTTTTTGTATCCCCAGAACTTGGCTCAGTGCCTGGTACCTCATAGGTGCTTAATAAATACTTATTGCCTGATTTATTGACTGACTAGACTTCCAAATGGGTCCAAGACCCTTTTCCAAACGATTGCTACAGATCCTCCCAGCTATCAGATCCATGATCCCATGCTTCCTGTTTTTGTAACTGGTCCGCTCTTTACATTTCTCCAGAAGGGTTCAAGTCAGTTTCATTTCAAGAAGCACGCACAACTCGCATTAGAGCCAAGTTGGACAGAAGGGCCTGGAGTAGGGGCTCCCAGCCCAGCCTCTCATTTGTTCAAGGCAGCCAACGAGAGCACACAGTGGCCTTGGCCAACAACTCCCCACATGACGCTCCAGGGCCTCTGATCCCAGCCATTTTTTTTCTCATGGAACCCCTATCTCCTCTGAGTTCCCCTCCACCCCTGTCTTCTTCCTGTGCCATCTCACGCCCCTTCCTGAAGTCGGTGAATTTGTTTTGTTTTTCTTTTATTCCTCCCTTACTGGGTGGTTTTATTAGTCCCACAGGTAGTTGCTGAAAATATTTTAATTTCTTTAGCCCAGATTTTAGCGTACTGGCACTTAGAGACCGCTTAGTGAAGGGTACGCCTTAAACAGAAAATAAATCTGTCAAAACCCATCAATCTCTCAGACTCCCCCCCCCCTTAAGTGGATTGTTTTTCTGAAGATTCGGAGAGCTGCCTTGGCCTTCTTTGATTCTTTTCCTGCTCACAACCACATTGGTTGCATATTAAGATCCTTGAAATCATTACAAGCATCTCTCTGGCTACCCTTCTGCCCACAACTAGAGATAGGGAAGCTGTTTCACAGGCCTCATTTAGACTTTGAGCTCCTAGGAGATATTTCACGATGATAAGCAGCCCAGTTCCTAGCCACAGAGCAATGCATCATGAAAGAAGTTGAAATTTCCTTTTCTTTGGCATTTTAATGTATACTACTACCGCATTCTCTCTATATGAATATTCAGGCAATTATACTTTGAAAGAAAAAGTATGGAAGTTTGACTCATGGGATCATAGATTTATTCTGTATAAACTAATGTCCTTTTTTTCCTGTGTTAGAATGCAAAGTCTTCATGTGTAGGGATGGTTTTGTCTATTATATTTGTGCCTCCAGTCCCTAGAGTAGGACTTGGCTCATAGCAGGTATTTGAAAAATGTTTGTTGAAGGAAAATAATCAATATAATGACTCATTGGAAACAAATACATATGTGTATATATAATATATATATATATATATATATATATATATATACTTATATATATATATATATATATATATATATATATATATACTTATATATGTTGTGTGGAAAGGATAACAAAACATGGAAATTGTTAGTGTTGTGAGGGGGTGTGAAAAGACAGGCAAAGTAATGACTTCTTGGTAAAGCTGTGAATGAGTACAACCATTCTCTGTATAGCCCAAAATATTTATAGGAACACTTTTTTTTGTGGTTACAAAGAACTGGAAACAAAGCTGATAACCACTGACTGAAGAATGGCTCAAGAGATGGTGGGACATGACTGTAATGGGATATTACTGTGTCGTAAGAAACATGATGAGTACAGGAAAGCTTGGACTTCAATGAACTGATGCAAAGTAAATTAAGCAGTGCTAGGAAAATAATATGCTTTAAGCCTACAGCAACATAAATAGAAAGAACAAAACCCACAAAAATAATTGAGGGTGAATGTGGTGAAATGAGTTAGAGCAAGTCTGGCCCCAAAGCAGGGAGATGAGAAGAGAACTTTCTCTCCTCCCCCAGCAGTTCCTTTCATAGGTGGGGGATGGTTATATAACTTTGGAAAATTGTGTGTTTTGATTATTTTTTTGTCTTTTTTTCTCTTCCTCTTCTTTTTTTCCTTTAAAATTTTTTTCTGTTGTAAAAGATGGCTCTTCGGGAGGAAGAGGGAGAATGAAGGTTGTTATACACACAACAACAAAAAATAAGAATGAAAATCTGTTTCAAGTGAATGCCCTTTCTGGGTGTTTCGCTCGACCAGCAAGGACCCTACAGGGCATCTAGGAAAAAAGATCAGCTATTCTACTGAGGACCAGAGAGTTGAACAATCTGTTGGAGGTTCCGAGTGGTGGAAGCATGATCTAAACCCATATTTTCAGACTCCAAATCCAGCTTGCTTTCTACTATACCACAAAGACCTAGATTTAAATCCTGACACTGACACATAGCCTTTGTGTCATCCTGGGTAAGTTGTCTTTCCATTCTGGGACTCATCTTCCTCCACTATAACATGTGTGCGTGAGTGTGTGTGTATGTGCGCATACCTCCTATGAGCCAGGCACTGTATTAAGCACAACTACAAATATCATCTCCTTTGTTCCTCACATCAATTCAGGGAAATAGATGCTATTACTGCCCCATTTCACAGTTAAGGAAACTGAGGTAGACAGTGGGTAAGTGACTTGTCCAGGGTCATACAGCTAGTAAGTGTCTGAGGCCATATATGAGCTCAGGCCTTTCATGATTGTAAGCCCAGATTTCTATTTAATGGACTTCCTAATTGCAGTTAGGTTAATGACTTCTAAAGTATGAAAAATCTCTGACTTTTGTTCCTACACATTGCAGTGTTCAAAAGAATTGGCATTGCACAAATACAAATGTTTGCTTGTGAAGTGTAACAATAGTGAGCTACAATGGTATTAAAAACCCCTTTGGGGGTAGCTAGGTGGCTTAGTGGATAGAGTGCTGGGCCTGGAGTCAGGAAGACTCATCTTTCTGAGTTCAAATCTGGCCTCAGACACTTCCTAGCTGTGTGACCCTGGGCAAGTCACTTTGCCCTATTTGCCTCACTTTCCTCCTCTGTAAAATGAGCTGGAGAAGGAAATGGCCAACCACTCCAGTATCTTGGCCAAGAAAACCCCAGATGAGGTCATGAAGTGTTGGGCATGACTGAAAAGACTCAACAACACCTGCTCTATCTATCTCAGACAGCCAACACACTAAAAGTATATCTTAAGGTGCGATAGAAATACAAGTTAGGATTATTCAAACTAGTTCTCCCCCAACTGCTTCAACGGAACTTGGAATCAGAAGACACTGATTCAAGTCAGAACCCAGAGAATCACATAATTTGGGTGTTGAAAGGGACTTAGTCAGCTATCTTGCCCACCCCGTACCCCAAATGAAGTTCCACTATAATCCACCTGACAAGGAGTCACCCAGCGACTGGAAGAACTCCAGGGAAAATAGAACCGCGACTTCTGAAGGAAGCCCATTCTACCTGCAGACAATTCAAGTTAGAAAAGTGTTTCCTGACATCGAGCTTACATCGGCCTCCTTTGCAATTTCTACCTCCTGGTTCTTCCTTTTTTAGCTAAATAGAAGAAATTTAATCCCTCTTCCCCATGGCATCTCTTCAAATGCTTGAAGAAAACTCATGTGGAATTATAGAAGTCTTCTCTTTTCCAAGCTAAAAAAAATCCTTTTTTTTTTTTTCAACTGGTCCTCATGTAACACAGACTCAAGAACCTTCCCCATCCTGGGTGCCCTTTTCTGGAGGCTCCGCAGGCCATCAATGCCATTCTGACACTATGGTGCCTAGAAGTGAGCATGACATTTGAGATGAGGTCTGACCTAGACAGAATGTTATTGACTAGCCTTCCTTCATTCCTTGGGGCTAGGCACCTTTTCATTTTTTAATGCCACCTAGAGTTCCATCAATTTTTTTTTCAGCTTCCCACCTGCCATTGCTGGCTCATTTTGAGCTTAGTCTACTAAAATCTCCTTATTCCCCCCACCCCTGCAAACAGTTATTTAACCCTTCTTCCCACATTTTGTGTATATAATGTTGAACCCAAGTATAAGTTACTCATAAGATTGGGAATTATAGCACAGTACCTGGCACATGGTAAGCACTTAAGAAATATCTTTTGAGTGGATTATAGTACCTGCATTGAAGAACTGAATTTGCCATTCACTTAGACATCACTGAGTTTCAATTTTCTCATATATAAAATGAACTGACAATATTTGTACTATCTACTTCATAGAGTTGTTTGTAGGATTAAAAGAGAAAAGGTATGTGAAATATTGTCTCCACGATACTTTTTGGACTAAGAACCACCCTGATTCTGTTCTTCCTCTTTCTTATTTTTCTTACTCTTCCTTCTTTCTTCTCCTTCTTCCCCTTCCCCCTCCTTCCCTTCCCTCAATTTCCTTCCTTCCCTTCTACCACCTCTTCTTCCTTTACTCCTCCTTCATTATCAAGACACTCTCTATAAATGGCTGCATTCCAAAGAAGTTAAATGGACCATGTTTTGTCCTTCCAGACATTAAGGGAATCATAAAACCTTCCATTTACATATTTTGCAGCTACAAAATGTTTTACATCTATCGCCCAATTTGATCCTCTAATAATTCTGTGACACAGGTATTATGGGCATTTATATCTTTATTTTTATATAAAGAAATCGAGGTTCAGAGAGTTTAATGGGACCTCCCCAAAGTCCAATGAAACACAAGTAGAAAAAAAATCAGTCTTCTAACTCAGTTTCGTGGGTAGAGAAATCTTTCCAAATTCTCCAATTTCTCTCAGCCAATTTTTAAAGGCCCAGAAAATCACCAGCCTCTAGAACATGTACACAAATAGAAATGAATAAAAAGGAGAAATAGAAAAGAGGGAAAGGGATAGACTGAATGGTGGAAAGGGGCAATTAAGGAGCAATGTTAGTCTTCTTTCAAGGCAAATACTTTTATGGAAAGTTTTTGCCTTCTTGCCATTCAGGAAGTGCTGATTAAAGAAGTGGATCTCAGGCACAAAATAATTGAACAAAGAGAAGAATACTGGGTCAACAGTCCCAGTCCCTATCGGGCTGGAAAATGACATGCTCAGGATGTTTTCCAGTTGTAAGATATTTGATAGTTAATACTTTGATTCCCCAAGTGTTCAGATGCTTAGTTCTTCTTAGTGAAAGAAAAGGGGGAAAAACCCAATGATTTCTAATCCTTTTCGTTCTGATAAGCTTTAACTTTTCATTTTCGGATGCCTCAGTGAGCCTCCTTCCCTTTGTCTTCTAGCACAGCACCCATTAATATAGAGTGTGCTCTGGTATAGCATGAAATTTTCCATTATTTCATGGGCAATTAAATATGTAAAACTACATCTTACAAGGAAGAATGTGAGCAGAGAAAAGTGAGTCTTGGGGTTTCAGTTTGTTACTGCCTGTAAAGGACCAGCACAATCTGTCACAAAACCCCCCAAATCATCCATCCTCCCCACCCCCGACACATTAGATGGGGATCCACATAAGAACAGGTACTAAGCCTCATTTGCTCTTCCCTGGCAAACAGTAGAATTTTCTGCATACTGTAAGTGCTTAATAAATGTTTAATGAGGTGAAGCTATAGCCAGTCAGTTTTTCTGTTTAGTTAGGGGTGGGCTCCTAAAAAATGCAAATTCAGTGTTGCAGACCTCATAAAGTATGATCAGATGGTTTTATTTTTGACAACAGTAATTCACAAGAATCTTTTACTTAGGTGAAGAGAGTTTCCCACCTTCATTAGGTATGGGATACCCACACTGGTGAAATGACAAATGCTCAAGGTATTGAAGATTCTGAGCAAGACTAGAAAGCCTATTAGAAATGGAGATGGGGCAGAATGAAATTCCTGGCACCTCAGGTTCTGCTAATAAGTCTGCACTATGTAACCTCAGGCAAATATCTTCACTCTTCTGTTCCTTGCTTTCTTCATTTCAGAAATAATGATGCCACTATCTGCTTCAAAATATGCCCAAAGAACAGACTTAAGATCATGCATACAAAGCTGAAAGGGGATTTTAGGGTCATCTAGGGAATGTTTAGCTGGGAGAAGAGAAAACTTAGGGGAGAACATAACTGTTTTCTAGCATATTTGAAGGGCTGCCATATGGAAGAAGGAACAGACTCAGTCTGCTTTGCCCCAGAGGGCCAAACCAGAAGCAATGGGTAGGGGGCACAGAGAGGCCAATTTAGACTGGATGCCAGGAAAAACTTCTCGACACTCAGATCCATGCATAATTGGCATAGATCACCTGAGGAAGTCATGAGTTCTCCCTCACTGGAGCTCTCCAAGTGCTGGCTGGTTGATCACTTTGTTGGGGTGTCACAGAATAGAGTCTTGTTCATGTATGTGCTGGCCTTGACGCCTTTCATCACTGAAATCTTGAGATTCTGTGAGTCACTCTTCCACCGTGTGTCTGTGGAACAAGGCAATGGTAGTCCCCCTGATTGTGGATTTGAGGGTAACGAGTCAATGTTGCTTTGTTTGTCCTTCATTCTCCAAGAAGACCATGACCTCAGAGACATGATGACATGACTTGTGATTGACTTTGTTTTGAGGGAGGGAGGGATGTGCAGCCTCAGTTTCTCCTCCGGAGTCATCTCAGCCAGATTGAATATAGAGTCATAGGATGATGGGGTTATGGATTTAGAGGCACCCCAGAAACTGCACTTCGGAGATGAGAAAATAGGTCAAATGCAGAGTACCTGTCCTGTATGCCGCTGAGACCAGAACTCATGAATCTGCAGTGTTGTCTCTTGTTTCTCACCCAGTCTCTCTACCTCAGTCTCCCTGTGCCTACCACTGTCTCTATCTGTCTCTTTTCTTCGTTCCTGTCCTCTGATTCTTAACAATTTATTTTGCGTGCTCTCTCTCTCTCTCTCTCTCTCTCTCTCTCTCTCTCTCTCTCTCTCTCTCTCTCTCTCTCTCTCTCTCTCTCTCTCTCTCTCTCTCTCTCTCTCTCTCTCTCTCTCTCCCATTCTCCCATTGGTTCTCTATAATAAAATGGTCAACAATTTCCTTACTGATCTCTGTGTTTCATTTTTGAATTGCAGCCCAGGAAAGGCAGTAGGGGTGAAATGCCTGAGGGAAAGAGTGGATAGAGTGCTGCTAGGACTGGAGTCAAGAAGACTTGAGTTCAAATCTGGTCTAAGACACTTATTAGCTCTGTGACCCTGTCACTTCTCCCTGTTTGCCTCAGTTTCTTCATCTGTCAAATGAACTGGAGAAGGAAATGGCAAACTACTCCAGTAGCTTTGCCAAGAAAGCCCCAAATGAGGTCACAGAGGGACATGACTGAAATGACTAAGCAACTTGGACTAGGCACTGGGCTAAGCCCTAGAGATACAAATACCAGCAAGCAAAACAATTCCTGCCCTTTAGGAGCTTATGTTCCAATGGGAGAAGAGACCTAAAAGGAAGTGGGAGCGGACACCCAATGGCAAGATGTAGAAATAGCTAGGAAGCAAGTTTGCATGGAAGGAGGGATTATAGTGAAAATGAATGATGTAAAAATAAGACACACCTACAA